CTTATGTAACTAGTAAAAAGTGATTCTTCCTAATTCAACACTCCTTCAAAGCCTTTTTGACTCTATTCACCGTTAAATGCCAAGTAAAATTTTACAGCAGCTCATCTTTAAAAAATGCTAAATAAGCCCCTGAGTAAACTTTATGTTAGAAGGAACAGAGTGTAACTACAAGAACACATATATAACTGTATGTGCATCTGTGTATGTGTAGGAGCATTCTCATGGCTTTTTATGTAGAAGAGCTGTAACGATTAAACACAAAACAAAAGAAAACCCTTGTCCCTCAGTTTCTCGTTAGAATTAACTTCTTCAATTATGAAAGCTATTTCAAAATTGGATGTTGAGCTTGGCCCTCAGATTCTTCTTAAATCCTACAGACCATCACCAACTGCACATATCTAAATTATCCTTTGGATTGCAGCAGCTAGAGAAGCAAGTTTCAAATATTTCACACCAACTGAAGAAATTTTAAAGACTCCCTCCATCTTTACAGAAGTCCAGTATGTGCTCTCATTCAAAAGATGTCAAAACTTTTAAACCACTTGTGACTAAAGTCACCCTTAAAAGATTCTCTTTCTTCTTGAGAGGAACACAAGCAGTGCTGTACTGCAAGCATTTCTGGTGTCCAATTAATAAGTAGTCCTTACTTATTAGCAAATGCGAATTTTTTTCTTTTTCAAAAAAAGTATTGCAACTTGCTTCTCAGCCAACTACACTCCATGACTACCAGGAACTGTAAACGCTATAAACATGGTCTTTCTAATTAAACTTGTTTTTGCTTCTGGTCTACCTTCCCTTACTTCCAGGCGAACAAGACATTTGTGAGAAGCTGGATGATAACACAAAGTCAGAATCTCTTCCCCCACTCTTAAACCAGTCAGGACTTAAGCTTATTTTTGCTTTTGATACTTTGGTATGCAAACGTAGAGAATCTTCCCAAGAATAACCATGAAAATGCAAAGACACAGATACTATGACCTGGAAACTACTCTTTTCCCCCCACCCACATCACAGTGCAAATCGCTGTGCCAACAATATTGAGGCCCTTGTTTTTAGTTTAGCTTAAATCAGTTGAAGTCTGAATGTGAAATGGGAATTTCCACATACACCTTCCAAAAAAAATGTTGAAAATAGGAACTGAATCTAACTAGCTAATTCAGTCCTATTTTCCATGGAGTTAAAACCTATTTTTCTTAAAAAAAAAAAAAAAAAGGGAAAATGGGGGAGAAAATGATAGCTTGCTACCGCAAGCTAGGCCTCAAGTCACTGTATCAACTGGTGGTTTCTATAGCCATAATGAGGCTAAGAAACAAAGGTGCCATAAGACAGAAGGACTTATTAAAACAAACAGCATCACAATTAAAAGTCAGAAGTAAATAATGCCTAGCAGCCTTCTCCAGACCACTGTTCTCAGCTTAACCCTTTCAGCCAAAAAGTAAGCTTGACCAAGCATCTAACAAACTAAACAATTCCGCAATTTCAAACACTCTTTAACCTTCCTGATTGCTCTCTCCACCTTTCTTCATAGAAACTCTTTCAAGGTAAGGCATACCTTGTAATAAACAAACATTTTTTTCTTAGACAATCCTGTAATACGGATGTTGAAAATGCAACATAAGAAGATCTGTTTTTGCAGAGGGGATACATAAGCTGGATTAGACAAGGATTACTTCTTAAAACTGCCAGTTCTACATTTTAGTATTACCTTTCTTAGATGTAGGCACTGAAGAAGCCTTGATTGGGTTCTTAATGCTAGCTGAAGAAAGATTTTCCTTGGTATGATTCTTTGACTTCCCATATTCCCTGCTTGGCTGATTTCTGTGCCCTTAATGTTAACGCTGACAGACTCCTGGGAAAATCTTGCCAAAGACCTCTAGCCCGCTTTTTAAGGAGAATCTCAGCACTCACTTAGAACACAAAAATAGGCCTCTATATCATAAGACCCGAATAAGGCCACTTCAAACATTTCGGGCCATTTTAAACTGCACAAGCTTCTTCTTTTGTAAGACAGGCAAAGGAGAATAGTGACCACATCAGAGTCTTTGCTAGCAAATTTAAGCCAAGGAAAAAGGACATTAGGGCTGAGAAACAACCTTACCACTTAACCATGTGTTTGTGACCTGCTTCCCCCTGCTCTCCGCCCCCCACTCAGGGGCAGCAAAGAAACCCCACCCTCTCTTTGGTGAAGGTTTAACTCATTACCTTCTGGGGACATTAGCTCCTTTTTGGAAGACAAACAATCTCAGTTGCTTAATTCAAACCACCTTGCTTTATATGTAAGAGGTGAGAAGAGTTACAAGACACAAAGGATTGGTTTAATTTATGATCTGCTGAACAGGTTGGTCCACTTAGCTCAGCCTTTAACCTCTGCAGTGGTACCAGAGGCAGTAAGGCAGACATCCTCAAAAAAGGATGCAAGTAATTATGATAATGAAAGAAAAGTTTCTATTTAGGCAAGCATTCATCCTACAATCCTTTAATAACATAAGCCTCCTTTGAATCTAAAGATTTTCATTTAGGCTTAAGAGATGGAAACCTTTGAGTCTCCTGAGAAAGTTTATACATATTAAGTTCAAAGATCATCTCATTTCTAAAGCAAATGCTTTGCCAACTAAGTCTGCATTTAATGTATCCTGCCAAATGCAGTTAAGAAAAACCACCAACATGAAGGCCATCTTCCTGCTAAATTGCCAGTCCCTTTGATGACGTGATTTGTCAACGATAGCTAATTAGTTTACATGCTTTCTTCTCACCGTAAGCTCTCAGTTCTGCAGTACAGCCCAAATGAGACTAGAAGTTTCTCACTGGAGAAGCAGTCAGCCAGAATAACCATTGGG